CAGCAGTTCCCTCCCTGCCAGGGGCAGAGGTGCTTTACAGTGTGCGAGTGGAGTAATTTCAGTAGAAGATGTTTGGGAATGGGATCTTCTGGGGTCTCTTACCAGCAATGACCAACAATTCAGGATGAAGTTGCTCAGTCTCTGCTCTGGTTTGCATGAAAAAACCCCACGTAAAGTTCTAGTACGTCTTTATTGAAAATGAAGTGATAAAATTCAGATAATACCTACCTCATGCTGCTCTTGAGGGTTAATTAATGTTTACAAAATCACTTTAGGTCCCGAGATTTAATTGAAGGAAAAATATTATCATATAAAATGCCTCTTTATGCAGGCAGTACTATAGGGTTTCAGCTGGGCAGAGTGCCGTGGAAACCAGCGTTAGCACATGCTTTACTACTTTTATGGTCGTGAGGCTTCCTGTAGTTTGTATAAAAATTGTCTCTCTGAAATCACAAATGTAACATCAGTGTTTTCCTCTCACTTTGAAAGAATATTAATTTGCTATCTTAGGACTTGACTGACTATTTAAACTGCTATAAATACAACTCGCTTCTGAGAAAAAAGTATAACATGAAATATCTGTTTGCTTGCTTGGGGTGAGCTGATACAACTCGCTAATGACTCCACCATTGGAGCCATGTGGATGCTGCTGGCTCGTATGGGTAACAAATTAGGGCAGTGCTGGATGTCCCGCTGTAGCTGAAGGGTGGATCTGTGTGTTCATTCTGCTATCAAGAGATTTAAAATACCACTATAAAACTTCATTTCTGGAGTTAAATTTAACTGTGGAGGTGTCAGCCAGGGAGCAAGCTCTGTTGAGTGGGAGTTTTTTGTGGGTTGGTTTTGGGGGTTTTATTTGAAAGGCAGAGTAGGAAGAGAAGGAGAAGCAATACTGGGTTTGGCTGACTGTGGAAACAAACTGTTGGAATAAAACATTATCACTGTGTAAGTGTTTCTTTTTCTGCTGCAACATTTTTTATCTTCACACAAAGAGTGGTACAGGTCGGGCAGACTTGGAGGTTGCATCAGTTGCTCAGTCTGCTTCTGTTGTTTCTGCCACACAGGGTGACTATGACCCCAGCAGAACCAAAGTTCTTCATTTCAGCATGAACCCAGCGAGCTTGGCCAAGCAGCAGCGCAAGGAGGAGCAGCAGCAGCTCCAGGAGGAGTGTGAAAGGCTGAGGGAGCTGGTGAGGGTGCTCGAAGCAGGCGGCTCCATCCCGGAGAATCTGGAAGGAGTTGGGAGTTTTCAGTCACCACAAGAGATTGCAGGTAGGCTGCTGGCTTCTGATCATGAATATGCACTTACTCATCCGTAGTGCCAGAGGACCTGACTGCAGAAGCAGATGGAGACATTGCAGACAGTGCGCTTGATGGAACGGTTATAAGGAAAATAAGAAAAGCTGCATTGATGCAGGAGAGAGTGAATATGTGGTGGCAATCCTGTGGCAGTTTGATACAGAGGTGGTAAGGATAAATAATAACAATCCATATCATTTGCTTGTGATAAATGAAATACCAATACAACAGCCTTCATAGTCTGGTGCTGCCGATGGAGTAAAAGGAAATATTTCCTTCCTTTCAGGGCTGGTTTAGCCCTGGAGGTAGTACAGACAGCAGGAAATAACTTTCATAGCTGCAGGGAAGCAAGTGGTTGAAATCTTTTCAGACCTGGCTTAAAACAAATTAATATTATTTATTAGTGTATATGTGCCACATTAATCACAGCTACATTCAATACTCCATGAAAATAGAGTACATCTTTCACTGAGCTAAATACATTTCACAGAATCTGTGGCTCTCTTCCCTTACAGTCTGTCTTCCCTTCACACACCCGAATGAGACTTTTTAGTACAGTAACCCCAAAGTCAACACCTCCAGACATGCTCTCAGACTCTGTAAATCAAGGTAAGGATACCAATAAAACGTGACCCATCACCCACAACACTGCGAGGGGACCAGCTGGAGTCGAGTCACGCTGCAGAGCCCAAGAGCTCTTACTGCTCTACCTCTCTCGCATGTACCTTGCCCTCCAAACATTTTTGTTAGAGAAGAATAAAAGAGAGAGGAGGGTCTGTGTGGAGCTAACCTGTTGTGTTCCAGCAGGTTCCATGTACGTGTTCAGTGTCCGGAGGTCAGGATCCGCCCCTCGGATGAGCTTTAGAGGGCAGAGCTTTCCTCGAAGGCCGTGTGTGCTGGAGGCTTGAGACCCACAAAATAGTAGAGCCCTGGTTTAAAGAAAATACACAGAAGAAAATATCTGTCACAGTTATGACACCAAAATTCTCTGAAAGTAGCTTGCTTGTTTTCCCATTGCTCAAACAATAGTACTTTATTACTGCTAGGAATGCGTTTGTTGTGGCATCGCAGAGTGGATTATGGTACTATATAGCTTTAAAAATGTGACGGTGAGCAGTGTAGATGGGCTGGTTTATAAAGTGAAGAGCTGACTAGATGTTAGAGGTACAAGGGCAGTTTGTCACTGCTGTTAGTGGATGCTCTAACAGAGGCGTGAGCGTTAAACGCTCCCTGAGCGTTTAGGGAAGGCTGCCTTTGCCTGTAGGAGTTGCCAGTCGAAGACCCTGGTGAGACTCGAGCGGTTCTTGGGGATATTTCTTGCATTGCAATTTGAATTCGAAATGGACTGGTGTTTAAATTACAGCAGATACTGCTGCCCAGTGCCCTTGTCTGCCGGAATGCCCCCGAGCAGCCCGGCACATCCAGTGCTGCAGATCCACGCGGCCGGCCGTGCCCCTCGAGCCCAGGGCAGAGTGCCAGTCCGGGCCGGGGAGGATGCAGAGGTGAGGTCAGCTCTGTGTCTCTGCTGCTGATGGATGAACCTCTAGGGTATCATCTACAGTAATTAGACCATTTCTTCTGGGGGAATGCATTTCTCACATACGCCTCCTATGATTTGTTATTCATAATTATTATTCTGCTGCCTTTCACGCAGTTGCTTTTAGCTGTTTCTGAGGTGCTTCTGTGCTGGGATGTTATCGGGTTTGTCTTTAGCTTAAAAGGGATGCATTTGTAAAGCTGTTTTCTTTTCTGCCTTTGATTCTGGCAGCAAAACAAACAGCTTACTGGGTTTCAGGGTGTTTCCAGCCTCTCATATATGTGATGCTTTTTTCCCTTTTGCCCCAGTCCCGTGCTACATCATTCTGACTTCTGGTCACCAACTCAAAGGCGAGAGAGCATCAGTAGCAGAACCTAGCAAGGTGGGAAATACTTCGGTGTCATTTATCACGGTCACAGGAGGGCCCTTTGCTTTCTCAGAGTGCCTGTAAGTGCACGTGGAAGTGGCTCATGTAAACGAAATTGGAAAAATAGCTGTAAGTGAAGGGTGAAGAAGCCTGTGGATGACTGTTGTTGAGATCAGGGCATGTGTATAGTAAGACAGGTTATATGGAGTACTGTGGCCAGTTCTGGGCTCCCCAGTTCAAGAAAGATGAGGAGCTGCTGGAGAGAGTCCAGCAAAGGGCTACGAAGATGATGAGGGGACTGGAGCATCTCTCCTATGAGGAAAGGCTGAGGGAGCTGGGCTTGTTTAGCCTGAAGAAGAGAAGACTGAGAGGGGACCTTAAAAATGCTTATAAATATCTGAAGGGTGGGTGTCAGGAGGACGGGGCCAGACTTGTCAGGAAGTGCCCAGCGACAGGACAAGGGGCAATGGGCACAAACTGAAGCAGAGGAAGTTCTGTCTGAACATGAGGAAGAACTTCTTCCCTCTGAGGGTGACGGAGCCCTGGAACAGGCTGCCCAGGGAGGCTGTGGAGGCTCCTTCTCTCGCGATATTCCCAGCTCCATTTGTTGGACTAGATGACCCACAGAGGTCCCTGCCAACCCCCACCATGCTGGGATTCTGTGATTCTGTGATGGAAAGATATCAGGCTTTTTCTTGTATTTTATGCACTTGTTGCATCACTGCCATGCATGAGGAATGTTGCCAGAAATAGTCCTAAACCCTCCTTACTACTGCGGGAACATTCAGCAGTATCGTCGGATGATGACGACTGCGCAAGGCGTGCTGAGGATGTTATGGCACTGGCTGCAAGGTTAGCCGGCGTAGCTGAGCTGGCTTTAAATTCGACGGATGAGTGCCAGGTTTGGGCTTTTTGCCGGGGCAGGGCAGAGCTCCCGGTGGGTTAGGGGGCAGCTCATTGAGCGTGCCCGGCAGGCTGCATCCATTTTTGCATTGAGTCTGTCCTGCTTAGCTGATGCCGCATCCACAGCGTGGATGCAGCAGCTGTTCCAGGAGGGGTGTAATGACACGGATTCGCGTGGCCAGAAAGCTTCCTCTGTCTCTGGATGGGAAATGGAAGATCCAGCTTTCACTGTTTTCTTAGGATCTCGACAGCTCTGCCCACAGGAACGGCTGCTGTATGCCTTCCATTTGAGTATATTTTCGAGGTATGAAATGGAGAGCATGTGGCAGAAACTCCCTCTGCTCCGTTTGTCGCTGTGCAATTGGCTGCCTTTGGGAGGGAGGTTTATTGTGCAGAATGAGGGAGCAGGTTTCAGTGAGGTTTGTGGAGCTGTTTTATGTACAAAAATAACAAGAATTAGAATTTTTCTTGCACCCCTTTCTGTCAGCTGCCATACCCATATGTCTGTTTATCCATCTCACTCCTGTGACACAAGCAAGAGGCAGACTCAGCGCTCTGAGCTTTCGAGGTGGGAGGTCCCTCGTGCCAGAGTTGAATGGGTTGAAGGGAGACCAAGGACAGAGCAGGAAAACTGTGGATGAAAGCTGGGAATACAGCATAGGTTGTATGTGAGTTTGCATTTTGCCTTTTGACAGATGGAAGTAAGCGTAAGATTTCGTCATCTCATTTTGCCGTATACCCTGGATGGCTTATCGGCAGAGGTGAGGGATTTGGGTGGCCTCTGGCCAGTCAGGTTTGCTGTGTTCAGCAAGCTTATGTGATCTACAACAATTATGCGTAAGGTTCAAAGAATTATAATTGTACGAACCAAAAAAAGGCATTAAGGACAATGATGTTGATGGTTTTGATAATAATGTATTGGCATTATTAAATTCATTTGTTGGACTGGAGTGCAGCACGTTTTTTCTGATCATGGTTCCGACTCTTGGATAGGTAATAAGGAAATTATTACTGTGGACGTTAAAGCTCATTAAATGTGACTCTATTAAAAATCAAGGTTATGCTGGACTTTAAATCTCTTTGAGCATAACCGCTGGAGGCTGCAGCACGGCCTGGCAACTTGCCACGTAGTTCAGTGGTCCTTTCCTCTCATTTATGCCGTAATAGTCTCTATTAAAATGGGTACTGGGGCTATTGCAGAGGAGAGGTTGGAGCAATGTGAGCTGTAACAACCTGCCTTCCTTTTCTAAGTGCAAACTTGCATGCGGGGTTGTGGGGTATCAACGGGGCAGATCGGTGGCAGCCGCATGACGGGAATGGGCTGTAGCTTTGGGGGTGTTTGGTTTCTCTCCCGGTGGCTGCCTGGACCTGGGTTGTGTAAGAGGAGAGCGCACCAAGGTCGGGCTGCCGGCAGGGAGAGACTGAGCCCTCCTGGCTCCAAGCAGGGATGCAGGTTGTAACAGCTTTGGAAAGGTGGCGCGGGGCATCGCTGCCCAGAGTTGGAATCTGTTTCAGGTCTGCATTTCTCTTTGCCGTACTCTGCACACCTTTTTGTGTTTCAGGCTGCATCTTCTGCTTTTTCTCTCCCAGTTCTATAGCTTTTCCTGTTTTTTTCTGTTTCTCTCCAAGCCATTTCTGTTTAGATCTTCCTTTATTGTCTTGTGTGGTCCTGGTGGACCTCTTGATTTTTCTTTTCTGGCACGGCTAGAGATGGAGTTCGGTCTTAGTTGAAGCAAATAGGTCAGTGGCAGCTAATGGGGAGCTGACAGAGGCGTGATGACTTGCGTATGGTAGCAAAGCGTAGGTAGAAATGAGAATGCTTCAGGTGCTGATTATTTCCATTTGTGTTCTTATCTTGAAAGTGTTATGTTTGAAGGTAGGAATGGGGTGACCCGTGGAAGCTGGGTCCTGACTGAAGAATGCAGTTATGTGAATTTCCCATGAGCCCTCATAATTTATTGCCATCCTGTAGGTAGAGTGGAGCGTTCCCTTCTTTCATGCAGCCTCTCCCTGTGAGCAACAGGAAAAGTGCTTTTAATATTCTTTCTGTTGAGAGACAGGCTGGCACCCCTACCAGGAAAGAGGATGGGGAAATCAACTCTGATTTCAGCCATCTGCAGAGAATTTTCAAAGTGAACTGTTTTCCTGAACATAATCCCACCAAAA